CGCAGCGCCGAGCCCAGCGCGCCGGTGGCACAGGGCGGCAGGAGGCCGGGCAGCCCCGGCGGGGACAGCAGCCGGCCTTGCTCCAGCAGCCGCAGGACGCTGCAGGTGGCGGCGGTCTCGGACACCACCGATCGCAGCTCCGAGTCTTTGCCCTGGTCCTTCTTCTGCTTGGTGCGCCGGTTCTGGAACCAGACCTTGACCTGCAGGCCGGGGAGAGAGGCAGGGTCAGCGGGGCGGGAGGAACGGCGCCCCCCGGCAGGTGYCCCGGGACCCCGGCGCGGCTCGGCGGGGCGGGGGGAGGCTGCGGGGGAGGGGGGCCCGCAGACACTCGGGAGCGGGGAGAGTTCCAAAACGCACAAAGCCACACTCACGGAGCACAACCCCCCACACCCTCTGTCTGTCGCCCGTTTCGGGGTCACCCCGAGGCCTTTAGCTCCGCATCTTTAACCAGACCTCTCACTTGGTCCTATTTTAGTGCAGGCCAGGAGTACTCTGGGAGACGGAGCCTTCTCCCCACCGCTTTATTCTAAGCCGGCTCAGCCGGAGCCCCGGGCACTCTGCGGTTCCCAGCAGCCGCTGCCCGCTCCCACTGCCCTTCCTGGGGGCAACAACAGCAATGAACTTCTTAACCAGTATCCCAACTTGGACTCTGTCTATCCCYCAACTCATTTTAAAGAATATTCAACTGAAAAAAAAAGGGATACTGGAAGTCACTCAAAAAATTACCAAACTAAACCAAAACCAAACAAAAACACAGCAAAACACACCCATGGCAGGTTCTGTAACATGCGAGTTATTGAACTTGTCATTCCTCTCCGGCAAGGAAAGAAAAAAGCTAATTAAAATGTCAGGGGAATTTGTTATATGATGTTTTGTGGAAATATGAAACCAGCTTTAAGAAGTTTGGAGTTTTTGGACGCTTCTTCGCGCTCTCGSACTGTTTTGTCCCTCCTGGGCGACCCAAGCCTTTCTGCCCTGGAGGGTGGAGGGGAACTTCTCCCCTTCGGACGTAGAAGGACTCAAAATACGGCCCAAACTTCAGCCCCGTCTCCGTATCTCTCACTCCCAGGAAATCTAAGGCCGAATCTCTCTAACCCAACAGAACCGGGAGGAAATTCCCGTCTCCCGCTGCGGGTTTGAGCGCCTGTGTCCCGCTTGCTGCGGGATGGGAGCGGCCCGG